CGACGACGCTTTGGGCCATGGCCCACGACGCCAAGTGGATTCTGTCGCCGCGTACGATCAAGCGCGCGGTCGGCCGGTCGTTCTTTCTTCGGCACTTCGAGTCGATTCGGCACGTTCCCGCCGCCGAGATTGCGACCGGCGACATCATGGCCACGAGCTTTATGACGTCCAACCTCGGCGCTAACCCGTACTTTGCCGCGTCGTACCCGCATGGGCTTGGCGTGCGCGCGTCGCGCTTCTACTATGGCGCGATGGTGCCCTTCTTTGCCTTTAGCACGTGCAAGGACCTGCACGTGACGCTCACGTGCCGCACCGCGTGGCTCTCGATGGCCGACGCGGAAGCGTGGCTGGCATCGTTCGTGACGACCCTCACGTCCCTCGTCGACGAAGCGTAGCCCATCAGTAGTAATACGTCGATCAATGAGCAGGAGCCAAGACCTGCGATTCCATTGTGTTGCGTGTCTCGTTGGGGTGGTGCGGCGAGACGGAGGGTGCACGCGACTCGTTTTCGCCGGGGCACCACGTGCAATGCTTTGCGCAGTGTGCGAGGACCTGCGCCTGCAAGCAGCCGTCCTCCGCCAACACCGTACAGCCGCTTGCACGTTGCATCGCGCGTCGCTCGTTGGTGTGCAGCAGGGTGTTGATGACAGAAGGCGACGCTACAGCAGGCAGTGTTGCGGTTGGCCTCCCACTTCCATGCCACCTTGATCGCATGCCACCTTGTTGCATGCGCCATGGTTGGCTGCCACCTTGCATTCGTCGCTCGGCTTGATGTAGGTACGTCACAGATGGCCATGGCCTGTCTGGCGCGCGTGGCAGACGACCTCTGGTAGAGGGCTCCAAGCACGTCGCCAAATCAGGACCTCGGCTCGAGGCCATAAGGCGCCTGTGGGGAAGGCGGCGAATCCAGTTCTTACTGCCTGGAAGGCCTGGGATTGGTCCATTCCAATCATATTGAAAGAATATTATTATTGATTGGTTTGTATGGATATCACGATGGACAAATATTATTCCAATCTGACTCCGCAGGCGTCCGGAAACGGTAGTCAGTAACCGG